TCTGTGTCCCACCCCCTTCATATCCGGGCTGTCTGTGTCCCACCCCCTTCATATCCCACCTGTCTGTGTCCCACCCCCTTCATATCCCACCTGTCTGTGTCCCACCCCTTCATATCCCACCTGTCTGTGTCCCACCCCTTCATATCCCACCTGTCTGTGTCCCACCCCTTCATATCCCACCTGTCTGTGTCTCCCCTCCAATATCCTGGTTGTCTCCCCACCCCCATTATTCCAGGCTTTCCATCTCCATTATCCTGGGCTGTCTTTCATAGATAAGTTAGATCTATAACTCTCTCCTTGTTTACTCCTTCTGCTGATAATTTTTGGCATCTGTATTTATGTCTTTGGACAGGTCCAAGTCCTCTGCTAGAGAGGTATGTTCATCTCCACAACACCCCTGCTTTTTATATATGCTCTTTCATTAGTCAATACTTTTCCCGACATGGGTACACTTTTAACATTTCAGTCAGATTACCTTTTTGTTTACCCTGACGTTGCATTGTAATTTCAGTTTTAGGAATAGGTACTTCAAAAGTATCGTAAAGTATGTCTATCAGTACAATGAATTGTACTGCTTGCTCATTCTGTGCATATATAGACCTCAATTGATTAATATATCCCTAATGATGAAATTATCCACCTTCGACAATATACATTATACTACCAAGGGGCTGAATAATTTTTCCTTTCTGCCAATTTTCTTTTCTAGCCTTAAAGCTTTTAAAGAAAACTTTATCGCCGATTTGAAATTGCCAAACTTTCTTCTTATTCCCCGGCAGTAATTTGCCAAAAATGGATCTAACTTTACTAGCAAACATGAGCTCTGCAGGTGACATTTTTGCAGTGGCATTTGCATTTGATATCATTTGATACACACTCAAAAATTCTTGTAATGCCATTTCTTCAGCTTCCAAGCCTTTAGCTTTTCTTAATGCTCTTTTCAAGGTGTCAACAAGCTGTTCCTCTTGACCATTTGAGCTTAGATGATAAATCGGCATTGTCAAATGTTCAATCATATCACTTTTGCAGAAATTTTTAAACTCACTAGAAGCAAATTGTGTTCCATTATCGGATACCACACTGTCAGCTACTCCAAATCTAGCAAAAATTTCACTAGAATTTATTGTGGTAAAGGTTGTTTACACTTCAATAACTCAGGCCATTTTGTGAAACTGTTGACCACAATTAAATAGTATAGGTATGACGATAAACTACATCCACATCCTGGGTAAGATAAGCTACATCCGACAGCAAGGCCTCTGATCAGAAGGTGTTGAGGAGCATGGAACCACCTCTTAATTGCTGGTGTTCTCAGGTTCACCCTAACCCAGGGTGGTAGCACCTGTTAGGGTCCCAGCTATGGGTAAATAATTAACCCGCAAACTGGGGTTAAAATACTATGAAAATGTAAAAATAGGTTTTAATACCAGAAATACTTTGTAAAAAAAATTATTACCAGCAATACATTTTTATAAAAAAAATATTACCAGCAATAAAAATCTTGTCAGCATTAAATAACCCATTGAGGTTGATATGCTATAAACCAAACCAAACAAATATTACGAGCCATTTAGTGGTCCAACAAAGTCCATATGTAGTCTTACCCACAGAAAATGTAGTGATTGTAATTCAGCAACAGAATCACCAATAAATTATCAGGCATAACCAAACATTGATAAACTAACTGTATTTTGGATAACTTTGGCCAATACACGTAGCTTTTCATCAAGTACTTCACCCTCATTATTTCCAGATGTCTGAAGTGGAATTGTTTTAAAATTCTTTTTTTGTAATGATAATGGAATTACAACTCTGTCCGTGTACAAAAGTACTCCACTACAAATAGAAAATGCTGTATTATTGTTAGCAGTTTCAATTTTAGTTTCACTTCATTTCAACTTAACATCATTCTGATTTTTTTTTTTTTTTTTAATAAATGTATCTTTTTTAGAATAAATTTTGATATCGTCTGCCATGACCAGAAATTCTTTAGTAGTGCTACACACCAGGCTTTTAATTTCACTTTTGGATTCCAGCAAAGCTATCACAGTATCTTCGAAATCTTTACATTTCAATATTAATCTGCACAAACCATCTGCAGGTTCCAATTTCTTTAACAACAGAAATTCCATCTTGAAATCATAGTTCAACAAAATTGTAGATCAACACTGTAGTCTGTTTGCAGCATGAGTAGGAATCCCTTTCTTCAAACCAAATATACTTAATAATGGATGATGGTCAGTTTGTAGTATGAATTTTCTTAATATCATCCAGTGAAATTGCTTTACAGCAAAAATAAAAGCAAGCACTGCTTTTTCAGTTTGATTGTAGCTTTTCTCCATATTTGTCAAACTTCTTGAAGTGTGGGTGAGACTTCTTTCACTGTACCATCTTTGAATTTATCATACCCAACCCTACTATTATCTCTCAGTGCAGGTCAGTGTGTCGGTGATAACTGTGAAGTTAGTGATTTTTTAATTCCTCCAAAAGCATTTTCATATTCCTCTGACCAATTCCATTTTCTACCCTTTTTAAATAAATATTACAATAATTTGCTAACCTAAGAAGTGATTGTAGGATTAGGAAAGGCACGTCTTTAATGTTGCTTGTTTGAGTAGGATCTGGTGGTCTTCCTTTTTCAACGATTATCTGACCTAAATATTTTATCTTGTCCAGAAAGAATTGACATTTCTGTTCACTGATTTTGAAACCATAATCATGTCATCTCTGAAATACTTCCTGAATCAGTTTTACATGCTGTGTTTCCGTAGCACTCTTAATAAGTATATCATCTATGTAATTGATAACACCATCTAGTTTAGCCAACATCATATCCATTATTTGCTGAAAAATACCTGGGGCTACTTTTACACCAAACGGTTATCTTTTAAACTTGTAGAGTCCTTTATGCGTATTAATAGTCAAAAACTTTTGGCATTCCTCATCCGCTTCAATTTGCATCAGACAGGTTAATTTTTTGAAAAAAATTTACCACTATTTAATTTGGCAAATATATCCTCTGGAGTTGGTAAGTGGGGATATGCATGTGGTAGGAGGCAGTCATTCAATCTAGTTGAAAAATCTGCACATAACTGAATCTTATTATTTTTCTTTCTAATCTAATTTTTCTGCTGGTGTAGCCCATTCTGAGTAATCTGTTTTTTCAGTAACTCTGCAGTTTTCTAACTTGTTTAGTTTGGTGTTAATAGTCTAATGCAGCAAAAGGTATAATTCTTTTAGACTTAAACACTGGGACCACATTTTCTTTTAATTTAAAAAATGCCTTTGACTTTGTACATTTTCCCAACTCCTCTGAGAGAATAGTTGTGAATTTATTTTTTTTTTGTTCACTTAGTGTTTCTTTAGCTGTAATTTTTTCTCTGATGACAATCAGTTTTTCCACATAACGAATTAATCAACCAATTCCATAGTTCAAATAATTCTAAGCAATCGACACCTAGTAAATTTGTGTTGGTATTTTTTAATATGTAAGCATCTGCTTTTTTTTAGTTTTACCCACAAAAATGATGTTACATGTAATTTTCCCCAAAAAATTAATTTCTTGCTTGATAATCCTTTTTTTTTTTTTTTAGTTTTTTTTTTTTGTTTTTGTTTTTGTTTTTTTGTTTTTGTTTTTTTGGGGTTTTTTTTTCAAGTTTGGCTTGCCAATTCTGTTCCAAGTTTGTTCATCAATATCTGTAATATTGCTACCCGTGTCCAATTGAAATATCACCGTAGCATTATTCATTTGTGCTGTCACAAATTTCTTTTTATTTGAACTTTCCAGTTTTTTAGCTGGTAGCACTACTTTAAGCAAGTTAATTTGTGTATTTCTCTTGCTTTTTGACTTGCAGCAGCTTCATTTGTGACTTGTTTTTCCACAATTAAAATATTTTTTTGGTTTTACATAGTCTTTTCTGAAATTAAGCATACGACATTTTTTTAAGTTCTACAGTATTTTTATTCTGGATTTTTTCTTTTGGCACTACTGTCTTTTTCTTGTACTTCTTGTACTTCTGCTCTGAAAATGGCCTCGTACCTTCTGGAGTATAATAGGAGTTAGCGAAGAGTCTGGCAAAATAAAATTAGCACACTGTCTGTTCCTTGCTTTCTCAGGATTGCTTTTATCTGTTCTTGATATTCAATTCATTCCCATTGCATTTGTTATAATGATGTCTTCTGGAATTCTTGTGGTTGCTGAATAATTATCTTTAATTCTTCCATC